TGCTGACAGACCTGAGGGGCAACCCTAGGTCAGGGCTGGGGACTCAGGGGAGCCATCCCTGCCTGCAGGAGTAACAGACGCCTCCGCTAGGGGTCACCAGGTGAATGGATGGGATTGTTGTCATCACACCTGACACCAGTCATCATCAGGTGGGCGGGGCAGCCTGGCCTGGCCCAGAAACCTCAGGGACAGACCTGCTAGGTTGGTCTCCCAGGACAGGTACTCTGGATATCTGATGTCCACTTTGCCTGTTGGGGGGGGGTGGTTTGAAGTCCCCACTGTGCATTGGGCAAACCCAGCCTGAGATGGCCCCTGTGTGACACCTCCCTCCCCTCAGAGGAGGTCGGTGGGGGATCACCCTGGTCCCCCTCACTGCCTCTGCTCAGCCTCATCCTGACCCATGGCTGCTGCATGGGTGTGGGCACGAGGGGGCGATGCTCTTACCAAGACAGGAGGCCAGAGAGGTGAGCCCCCCACTCCATGTCTTGGTCACCTGACCCCATTCCTCCTGTGGTCTGGCCTCTACGGTTGCCCCTGGCCCAGGCACAAGCTGGCTTGTGTGTGGACTCCTTCCTGGGCCTTTGAATCGTCAGGCTGGGACTGGAGAGCAAAAGTCCTCAGGAGGGGGCACCTGGTTGGACTTGGGAGACCCCGAGACGCTCCTACCTGGTGACCAAGAGCATTCAGGGCAGGGGCCCTGTGAAGACACTGGACCCAAAGGTCGGGCTGTGTCTGATCCTGTAGTTCAAGGTGGGCAGTGCAATGGAGGTGGCTCCCCTTGACCTGGGCTCAGATCCCCCACAGCCCAGCCCACCCTCAGGGTACAGAGCTGGCGGCTCGGCCTCTGCTCAGCATGGTCCGGGATAAAGGGGCCCCACTAGACCAGAGGGTTGCAGCTCGATGGGGTACTCAGGCTATATGTGTGGGAGTCTTCTGTCCCTCCGTGGAAGGGTGTGGGGGGAACCCCAGGGCTGTCGGTTCTGGGGAGGCTCAGGGTGGCTGTCCCAAGGGTGGTTCAGGGCTCGCTGTCCCCTTCCAGGTCGTGGCCAATGACAGGCCACTTCTATCTATCTGTCTGTCTGTCTATCTACCCTGTGTCCTCAGTCAATCTCTAGTCAGTCAGGAGATGGAGCAGAAAAAAATAGAGAGGACCCACATTCTTATAAATCCTGTGCGTACATGCGTGTATTGGTGTCTGTATTTTTGCCCATTACGTCATTTTCGTTATCATCCGTGTGTTGAAAAGTTGCACGGTAAGGAAAATCTGCACTGTCGGTGATGGTACCCGTGGGTGCGTCCATTATGGGAGGCCGTGGAGATGCCTCAGAAAATCAAATAAAGGAATTCCCCACGGGCAGCTGACCTCCGCCGCCAAAATACAAAAACACCAATTTGGGGAGATACACACGCCAGTGTTGGGCTGTCTTTACAGTAGGGGAGGAAGGAACCCATGTGTCCGTGAAAGGATGCGTCGGTGCACGCGCGTGCACACACACACACACACACTGTGTGTGTCCCCCGCCATACACAACCTGCCTTTTGCTGTGTCGGGTGGACCTAGGGGCTGTTATGCTTGGAGAAATGAGTCAGCCAGGGAGCGACCAGCAGGACAGGGCCTCATTCACCAGCGCTTTGGAGAGAAACCAGGAGAGAAAACCACCCCCTGTAGGACCAGGCGCTGCTCAGTAGTTGGTGGGGTAGGGAGTGGTAACGGGAAGACGCGATCGGCACAGTGTGGGGTAGAGTTGGGCTTTGGGGACACCCTGGTGTCGTGGCGCAGGCCTGACTGTCCTGAGCGGCCCGGGCGGGTCAGCCTCACCCGGCTGGCCGAGCTCCCGCCTCGTCTCGCTCCATCCTCCGCCCTGAATCTGACCGGCTTCCCGCACTGGTTGGCCTGGAGCACCCACCGGTGAGAGGCCAGGTGTCCCCCTCTCTGGGAAAGGCACACCCCCTCTGTTCAGTTTGCAGTCCACAGGCCTGCTCTTCTGGACCAGGGGTCAGAGGCGCTTGCGCCCAAGGCGTGTGGCGTGTGCACGTTGGGGAGCAGGAACTGACATGGCTGCGGGTGCTGGCGTTGGGGCGCAGGCCCTGACATGGACGCCGGGTGGAGGTGGAGAGCACAGGCCTCCTGGGGGACCCCATGACGGCAGGGGAACCCTGGGGGACACCGGGCCTGCTTTTCTGTCTCCCGAATCCCCCTGGTCACTGCTCGGCAGGGCGTCCGGCCCAGGGCCCAGGTCCCCACCCACCTCCGGGGCCCAGAGGACATTGGCCACGAGGCTGATTCCAGAGGCTTGAGATCTAGTGGGAGTTTCCTTCCAAGGTTTTCACTCGCCTGGGGCAGGTGTCTCCTTCCTTCTTCCCAGTCGCGCCCTGTGCAAAGGGGTCGCCTGTCCTGTGTGCCCAGCTGGGTCACCACGCATTGGGAAGGGCAGAGACGTGGTCAAGGTAAAGGTGACTTGTATGTGAGGACATGAATTTGGGGCCCAGTCTGAGTGTGGTGGGCTGAATGGTGTCGCTCCAAACCGAGAGATCAAAGCCGTGAAGTACAGAAGCCCAGAAAGTATTTCAGGACAGGGCCGTTCAAAGGGACCCGTTCCCACGAGGCCTGACGGGTGTCATTCTAGCAAGAGGGCGTTTGACACCAGAGAGACAGCAGCGCGATGAAGAGGGAGCGTGGGAGGACGCAGGAGAAGGGGCGCTGCAGACGGAGAGGGCCCGGCTGACCTTGACCTGGTCTCCACACCAGGTCAGCGGGATGTGTCCGCTTCAGCTCTTGGACCTGTGCCCTAGAAAATGAGCGAAAGGGAAGGGCTTGCCCATTCCTTCCCGGGACCCCACCGGGCACCCAGTTCTCCTTCCCTACAGGTCTAGGTCTCTGGGGTGGCAGCTGGAGGCCGACCCTCTCAGACAGTAGAGCCTGGGGTGGATGGCACGGGAAGGGGCAGAGCCGGGGACACTTCCTCCCTCTGTGACCTGCTCGCGGCTCGATGAGGAGGGAGGCCGGCGCCGGGCTGCGGCAGGGCTAGCGGGTTTCTGCTGGCAGAGATGGCTGGCTGGTGTGGTTTGTTTTAGATTTATTTATTTATGCAAACAAGAACTGGGGTGCAGGCCAGAGGTACGGGGGTGAGAGGAGTCGCCAGAGACAGAGTGGGGAGCAGAACAGGTGGATCGACGGAAACACACTGCTGAGGGGACAGCGGGGAGACAGGAGAGGTCTGCTGCGCCATGTGGGTAGCTCCCTGGCCGGGGATGAAACTCCTGCTGCAGAGGCTGCGGATCGCTGCACGGTGCTGTGCTTAACCCCCGGCGCCACCAGGGAAGCCTCCACTCTTCATCGTCTACTCTAAGCTCCTGTCACGTCCCAGCTTCCCTCTTCCTGGGCGCGGACTCTGGGCAGCTCAGGCCCATCCGTGGCAGGCTGGGGCTTCTTGGTCACCGGGATCAGTGGGACGTCTTGTCGGGGCGGGGCATTCTTCCCTCCAAGTGGAACCCCCAGTTCCACATTCACTCTCAGTGCTGCCCTTATTTCGTTTTCTGAGGAAATCTCTCCCTCCACAGGGCGGGGGGAGATGGGGAATTGCGCTGTAGTCTCATCCTTGAATAGGAAACTGCTGTGCTTTTGAAACTGCCCTTTGGGGGTTAGGCTTCCAGTCAACCCCAGCTGCATCCTCTGACCTCCCTGAGGACACACAGCACCCGAGAGGCTGCCTGTCGCCTCCAGCCCCGTTTGGCATGAGCAGGGCCTCATCCGACGCCAGACTTCTGAAATCAGGCTCATCCTCAGCAGACATGAGTCTGCGTTGCTTTGTCTTCTAATTCCAGCTTTAGCTAAACTCACCCCAAAGGTGGTGTTGAAGGGCTGACCTCCCTAGTTTGCTAGACACCAGCATTGATGTTGGGGGAGGGGAGACGTGCGGGGGTTGTTGGAGCCCATGGGTGCCCCAAACAACCCTTGTGAGTTTTTCCAGCTCACTACTTCCCAGGGGCTACGGTGTTTGAGGACCACGGGACTTGTCTCTTAATCTCCCCCGGCTCATACAACCTCCCCCGTTGCCGTCCCTTGACAACAGTCTCACGCTCACCCTACAGCATTGTGTCTTGGCTGCTACCCCAAAGAGTGATGTTGATGTTGTCCATAGCATCCAAAGCACTTGTTAGACAAACCCCCACGTACAAGAGCCAGGGACAAATGTCAAGGCTCATCTGACAAGACAGACACACACACGAGAAGCCTGTGTGGATGCGTCTCGGTGCCCCCAGGACACACTTCCTGCCGCCTTCACGGGAGCCCACCACTTGGCCATCCAGGCTGATGAGGACGCACGATGTACACAACATACGGGAACCATAGCCAGAGCTGCAGAGTGTTGAACCGTGGGCCCACTCAACAGTGAGCAGAGCGAAAGAACTTTATGAAGGAAATAGCCAGCCCCTGTGTTCACTGCCAGGTCTGAGGAGAGCTGAGCGAGGACAGATAAGAAGCAGAAGAGCTTCCACACGGGAGAGGTCCCGAAAAGGGTTGCTGCCGGGCGGGAACAACATGAGGTTTGACAGTCACGCTCATGTCTGGGGCGAGGGCAACAGCAGTGGTGGCCACCCGGTGTCTTGATTGGCTGTTTGGGACTTATGTCCTCCTGTAGGTGAACTGGCGATTTCTCAACCCATGCTTTGACTTCTCACTTGTTAGTCACGTTTCCCTCCCGTTATGTCCCTCAGGGGCCCAGCCCTCATCTGCCAAGATCTAACCCCTCAAATAGCATGAGGAGTATGGACCCAGTCGTTCAGCTTTCCTCGTGCAGCAGCGGGTGGGGCGCCTGGCGTCAGGACTTGAGGTGTGAGAATAGACTGGGCTGCTTGACTCGCCCCCACAAGACCATGAACACCCCCAACAGGTGAAAGAGCCCCCCACCTTTCCGAGTCTCCCTCACTAAGCCCTAAATGGATTTGTGGACACGGCGAATGACTACACCACCGAATATTCTGCAGACACAGACAAATCACCTAATCCCGGTAAGGTTGGGGACTCTTCGCTTCCTCATCCAGGCAGAGCAGAGCCTGGAGACGGTGGTGTTGCGGCTCATGAGCAGAAAGGGGCTGATGGCAGGAAAACACGCAGAGACCAGGGCGGTGGTGTTCACCATCCACCACCCGGGCTGATGGAGCAGAGCCAAGCACGCGTGGAGGACGGAGCACAGGGAGTGGAAGCACACGAAAGTGCCCACCAAGAGGAGGACGTGGCGGGTGGCCCTGGACTCGGCGGACGACCCGGGGGATCCCCGACAGCTGTGGAGGTGCTGGGCCCGCTGCCTGTGCCTGTGCAGGAAGAGAACCATGGAGCCGCTGGCCCAGACGATGAGCAGGGAGAGCGAGAGCTCGGGGACGACGATCAGCAGCGCGAACACCGTCCCGATGACTTTCTCCTGCTCTGGGGGCGGACAGGACCCCCCGTCCCCATCTCTCACCATGCCGTGGCTCTCCCACAGGCCTGACATGTACAGCACATAGGCGGGAAAGATGAAGTTCACGCACATGGACAGGACCCAGCACAGGGAAATGGAGAGGCTGACGCACCTTGGAGCTTGAAGCCCAAGGTTTCTCCAGCTCGAGCTCCTGGGGCTTATGGTGACAGCCTGGAAGACGCTGAGGAGGCAGGTGGTGCCGGTGGACACGCTCCTGCCCACCCGCTGCACGTACAGAAGAAGTCTGCACCCCGACTCCCGGAAGGAATATTTCAACCCCAAAGCCGCCATTGCCTTGGGGACGCCTTTGGACAGAATGAACAAGGAGTTGGCTGTCGTAAGGTGCGAGCGGATCAAATCTGTGTCCCTCAACCTCCCTCGACTGCGGTACAGGAGGAGGTAACGGTACAGGAGGGAGAGGTTGCCCAAGATCCCGATGAGAGCCTGGGAGACGGCGAGAATGCCGACCCCCAAATCCCTGGAGGTGATTCTGTGACTCGGCACCTTCTCCTTCATGCTGTGGCAGCCCTCGTACTTACTACCGAACAGCCTCATTGCCGAGTAGTGACACAAAGGGGGACTGTGGTTTCTTGACTCCCAGGGAGTCCCAAAGACTTCAGGTGGCATGAAGAGGTGGAGAAACAGTCCTGACATGTTCATGGAAAAGTTGACCATTCAGAGGGACGAGCTCTTATGGGGCTGAGTCCTGACAAGCGACACCCCATGGGAAGAGAGCGTTGACACCATATTCACAGTAAAGCCCGGTCCCTAGATACTGGATGAGGGAAACACCTCAGACATCCACTCGTACAGTAAATCAACTCAGCACCGATGGCTGACCTAGATGTTAAAGATTGTTGGGGCCGGCTGCCCTGCAGGGAGCTGGAGTTTTGGAGAGCGCCTGTTTACTCTGCATGCGGAGTCCCAGGACATTACAAGTTCTGCAAACAGAACTTCTTCCCAGAACTGACTCCTGTTCTCTGAGGACGTGCTGGCTTGTGCGCATGTTCCCCACTAACCAGGAAAGCTTGTTTTCAGTAGTAACTTATTCATCTTTATAAGAAAAACACAATTGTGTGCTATTTTCTTGTTCCTTTTTTCATCTCTTTAATAAAAGCTCGGGCTGGGAGAGGGAGAGGCAGAGCTGCTCTCGATGGCTCTCTCCAGCCTCCCCCTTGGGTCTAATCTTCGTTAATGGCAGAGAACTTCCTCGGCTGCCCTGTTTCCGCGACAAAAGACAAAAATGACTTACAGGAAAACACAAAGAGCCTGTTTCTGTGGTCCTAGAAGAAGGGAATATTTATGAGAAAACACAGAACAGTAAACCATATCCAGGAAATGATGAAATGAAGCAAAACTGAACAATGTACTCATCCAAAGACACACACACACAGCGAGGGAGAAACACAGAGAGTTTGACAGAGAAAGAAATGGAGGGAGGAAGGAGAAAAAGAGAAAGAGCAGGAGAGAGAGAGAGAGAGAGAGAGAGAGAGAGAGAGAGGGGACTTCTTTACTGGACAAGGAAATCTTACAGGCCACACAATTTAAAAAAAAAAGCAGGAAGCCCTCCCCCCAGAAGCCTCAAGAAGGAGCTAGTACAGTGGATCATTTCTGAGAAACACTTAAAGGCCCAAACAACAGCAACAACCCCTTTGACCCACTGCACACCCAAACCGCCACCAGCAGCAGGTCAGCCCGAAGCCCACACCAAGGGCACGAAGCACCACCTTTGGGCAAGAAAGGGAAGGCGGTGCTCAGCCACTGCCGCTGCTCTGTGTGTTCAAATTGGGCCGAACGTTTTGAAAACCCGCGTGGGGGGCTCCCCTGTGCACCCTGTGATCTCCTGAGCCAGCAGCTTCTCCCGGGGTGCCCGTGACAGACAGCGGGCGCTGACCTCGTGGGCAGTGTTGCGGGATTTACTCGCCAGCGTCACTCAGGACCCCCTACGCGACCCCCAGACCCAAAGTCCTCTGGCCCCAGCAGCGAAGCCGTGAGCTAGAGTGGGGGGCTCCTCTCGCCATGCGCTGTGCAGAGGGGCCAGCCGGCTTGCATGGTTCCGAAGGCGAGGTCTGGGGGTGGAAGGCCCGGCGCCAGCATTCAGAGTGGGTGGACCCACTCAAGAGACAGCCAAAGTGCGCCCCCCGCCCCCACTCCCGCGCCCCGTGCAGACTCCCCAGGGGTCCCCGCACTTCCTGCAGCAGAGTGCCCCCGGCCCTGACAAGAGGGGCCCGGAGCACGTCGAGGGGAGAGGTGACAACCTCCTCTTTCTGGATCTGGGATTTTGCGGGTGTTCTGTGATGAGGTCCCGCCAGTGTGCGTGTCTCCTACCCCCCACCCCCACCGCGTGTCTTGATGTAACCGACTCACCTCCCAGGGCACGGGGCAGGGCCGGCCCGGGTCTGTAGGGGCGCCTGCGGGCAGCCAGGTCACGCCCGCCGTGGCTGTGGCGCCTGCGGGCCTGTCAGGAGTCACAGCCCTGCACCCCGATCTTCCCGCCTCCGCTGCGGCATTTATGACCGGACACGCCGGAGAGGGCACAGCGGGCCTGTGGCCGGGTGGCAGCGGCAGCCAGCCTGCCCTGGCGTCTCGGGCCCTGCGTGCGTCCGGCTCCTGGCTGAGGGCGGTGCCGAGACCCGCACCTGGTCCCCGGCGGCGTGGCCGGCAGACCCCTGAGGACAGAGGGAATGTCTCCACCAGCAGGGAGCCGCGTCTGCCGGGAGCTGCCCCCACACAGCGCGGCTGACTGCACAGCTCGGGGCCTGCCTCTGCCAGGAGTCCCGACAGTGACCCTGGACCCAGCTCGCCTGTGCTGCCCAGGCCGCCCGAGCCCAGCCTTACAAAGTGGCCGGCCTTGGGCCCCTCCGCCCCGCGGGAGCAGCTGCCTCCTGGCACCCCCAGGGCTCTGCAGACAGGATGTCAGCCCCGCAGGACCCCCAGTCTCTCCCTCCAGAAACACACTCAGTGCGCGGCTTCTGCACAGGACCAGGGGGCTCTGACGTGCCTCCCCCGTCTCCCGTGCTGAAGGGGAAGGTGTCAGACGCCCCCTAAATGCTGCAGTCCCCCTGTGACCCTGCAGAAGTGAGGGGTGTGGAACTGGCCCCACACTTCGCTCCTGCTCCACCAGGAGGGCCTGGCGAAGGCTACCTCTGAGCACAGCGGCGCAATGGGCTGACTAGATCCTTCCTCCTCGCCCCCTGAGCTCCCCCGGGAGGAGGCCCCACCACCCCACCAGGCCTGCACTGCCCCTCGGTTTTCACCTGCGATCCCCACTGCCTCCTCTCACTGCGGACGCTGCTCCAGGCTGACCTGGCCCGGGGTGCTCCGTGCCTGGGCTGTGTCAGGACGCTGGCGCCTGGCAGGCTTGGCTATATGGTCTGCAAAGCTCTGACCTCACCTCCCCTGGAGCTGCAATTATCCCCTCCCCAGAGGCCCTGAGGGCAGAGGCCTGGGACCTGAGCACAACACATCAGACACCTGTCCGGGGACCCAGAATAAGGCCCACATTGCCATCAGCCCTCGAGAGCAAAACTGTCCTAACGCTCAGTCAGTTCCTAGTGACCCAACATGCGAGTTCTTGTGAATTTCTCCTGAGAGACCCTTGGCAATGGGGAGACTCTCTCCATGCCTCAGAGCCCTAAGGCAGAGGGGCCCCGGGACGGAGGGTAGAATCGGGGCCCACGGGCCAGAGAGCGAAGTAGGAACTTGACCTGGTGGGCAGAGAAAAGGGCCTGAATTGGATCAAAGCCAAATGCCGGGAATTCAAAGCTGTTTCAAAAGCCGAGCCACGGTCCACGACGCGGTGAGGCTGGATGTGACCATCACGGAGGAGGGGTCGCGGAAGGTCCAGGGCCCCAGAGGGAGCTTGGGCCGAGGGCCCTGGGGAACAACAAGTGTCCACCCAGCCGGCCAGCGAGTGAGGGCAGCAGAGAGCCTGGGGCCGGCGGCTGTGCTCAGGGTGCCGCTGAGGGCCGGGTGCGAGGACAGCCGGGGGTCCTGGGCGCAGCTGCACAGAGCCCGCCCCTGCCAGCACTGGGCAGGGACACCAGGGGACGCTCCCAGCGACGTGCGCAGCGGCTCCGTCAGTCCGTGAGACACCGCTGCTCTGCCTGTTGGGAAAAGCATCAACTGCCAGAAATGACCCTCAGCCTGCCCAGAGGGCACTGCCAAGACACAGGCCCTGGGCACGGCCAAGACGGGGAGACCCCAGCGCCTGGACCCTGCCACTGGGACAAGAGAGCGGGTGTGGTTGAGAGTCTGGTTGCTGCTTGCAAGTGACAGGGCAGGACCATGGGGTGCGGAGCCCCACTTTGGGTTTGCACGGAACAGGATTCCTAGCAGAGTCTAGGGGCCCCGGTTCACAGCCACGTCCTACCCCTATCCTTAGGATGTGGAAGGATCCCCGGTGTCCATGGAGGATGAGAAGAGAAAGAAAACGGTCCAGACAGTGGAATATTATTTAGCCCTAAAAGCGAAGGAATTAGAGGAAATGCTGCAAACTGCAGACCCCGAGACAGGTCCTAGGAACCAGGCGCAGAGGACGAGACTGTCCAGTTCCACCTCAGCGGGAGCTGACATGGTGGATGCGGAGCTGGATGCGGAAGGTGGGGCCCGGGCTGGGGAGCTTGGAGGGGCTGGTGTTTTGTGGGAAAAGAGGGTCTGGTTCCCACGAGGAAGAGCGATCTGGACATGACGGTGGCGGTAAGAACACAAGACGTGGTTCGTTTAAGCACTAAACAACTCTGCACTGAAAACAGGTCAACCAAAGTGACATCTAAGCTGTGGTTATATTTGCATTTCTGCAGAACAAGGGAAGAGCCACAAGTTTCCATGTGCCCCTCGGCCACCTGTGGTCTCCTTTGCAGAAGTGACCATCTAGTTTCTCTCCATCTTTAACCGGGTTGCTTATTTATTTTTTATTTTTTATTTTCATTTTTATTTTATCAAAGATTTATTTATTCATGCATACAAGAACCAGGTACAGAGCAGATGTGCGGGAGGGTGAGAGGATTCACCAGAGACGGAGCGGGGCAGATTGACTGAAATCCACTGCTGAGGGGAGCAGCGGGCGAGACAGGAGAGGTCTGCGGCGCCATGTAGGTAGCTCCCTGGCCAGCGGGGATCGAACCCGCTCTGCAGACAGCTTCACAGCGCTGTGCTCAAATACCTGTGCACCAGGGAGGCCCTATTTTTATTATTGAGTTTGCCATTTCTGTGTTTCAGACTTAACCGCTTCCTTGTAAAGAAATTCTGATTCAATAAATCTGCGCCTCCTGAGCGAGTGTCCTCACCACAATTGGAGCCCTAGACCCTGCCACGTCTGGCTGTGTCCTTAAGGTCAAGTCCTGCCCACAGCCCACTGGAGGTGAGTTTGACACTTGTGTGTGCATTTCAGACTTAACCGCTTCTCAGAAGTCCATGGTATTTTCTTCCAGCCAGCAGGAGGACTGTTCATGGAGACGTGATTTTCTCCTGCTGTGGGGAAGGTTTGAGGGGGATGTGGCCCCAGTTGCTTCATTTTGCTTTTGTTTCCCTTGCTGGGATCAGTCCCCAAACACATCTCCGAGCCTGATCGCGACGGCATCGATCTATGTTTTCTTCCCTGGAGTTTACGGTCTCAGGTCCTCCACCCAATGTTTATTCCATTTTGTGTTCATGTTCATGGTGGTGGGAGCATGTGCGCCAGCTCCACTCTGCTGTGCGAGGTTGTCCAGTTTCCCCAACTCTGTCTGTGGGAAACTGTCTCCCTGTCTTGTAAGCTATCGGTTTCTGTGCTGTAAATGTCCTCCACGTGAGTGTGCTCTCTTTCCAGACACTCACAGGCGTTTGTCCATGAGCTGAAACTAAAATCCACAGGCAGTAAAAGTAGGTTCCTGTAGCGATTTCTGTATCGCAAGTTCACTGCAGCGATTGCAAGAGCCAAGAGGTGACAGAGCCCACAGCTGATGAACTGACCAGGAAGCCGTCAGGCCAAGGCCGAGAGCACCATGTGGTTCCTAGGTGGGAAAAAGAGGGGTGAGTTCTGGGGGAACAGACCGGCAGACGCCGGGACTACCTAGACACTACCTGGGAACATAGACAAGGGCGGATCCCACTCATGTGACCCCCTTAGCATCCGGATCCTAATTTTGCAGTCGCTGAGGGGAAGGGAGACCCTGGGCTGTGATGGCGGTGCGGGCCCCGGGCCTTGTTGCATTGGGTTGGGGCCCAGACACCTGCTTTGGCCACAGCCCCCAGGGCTCGTGGCTGTGAGCAGTGAAGGGAGCTCCAGTGGCCGCGACGGGATCGTGCTGGGGAAGAGAACTCTGCAGTGGAATCCATGGGCTCCCTCCCCTCATCATCTTGTCGCCTGTCTATCCCGCTTCTGCCATTTATTTATTTATTAAGATTTATTTATTTATGCATACAAGAGCTGGGGTATAGGCCAGAGATGCAGGGGTGAGAGGATCCGCCAGAGACAGAGCGGGGAACAGAACAGGCACTGACTGCAATACACTGCTAAGGGGAGCAGCGGGTGAGTCAGGAGAGGGCTGCCTCGCCATGTGGGTTTCTCCCTGGCCGACCAGAGTTTGAACTCATGCTGCAGAGGCTGTGGATCACTTCACAGTGCGGTGCATAACCCCTTGTGCCACCAGGGAGGCCCTAAGTGAGTCTCAATTGTGTTCTCTTTGGATACCCGTAAAGTATCAGCCCCCATGTAGCCCCAGGCATCTCCCCCACTTTCGACCCCAGACACCACCGTGCTGCTCCCTCCATGATGTGCTCCTCATGTTCCCCCTCCCTCCTGAGCCTCCTGGTCTGTGTGCCTCAGCACCTGCACAGGTCACTAGGACTCCCTGCCTGGGCACCAGCCCCCAAGTCCCCAGAGCGCCCTCTCCGCCGCATGCTGAGCCCTCTCTGCCATCCGGCCTCCTGCCAACCACTCACATGGCCACCGCCAGCCCTCCTGCATCTGTGTTCATGCAGAGCCCACCGTCTGCCTCCTCCCTGACCTGCTCTCCACCCAGTTCAGCAGCCCCAAGTCTACGGACCCTAACTCGGGCCTAGACTCCCTCGAGAACCCACTGAATCTTGGACCTGCCACCCTGCCACCTTGACTCCTGGGGGTGAACCTCTCAGTGAGCAGAGCCCCTCCGGGCCGCCCCTCCTCTGCAGACTCCAGGCTGTCCTGTTTATTCTGGGGCTCCTCCCAGGAGCTCTGATGCCCCCAGCGCCCAGGGAATCAGAGTCTCCCCAACGCCCCAATCTCTGGACAGCTGCTAAGGACTCAGAAGTTGTTCTTGGCAATTAGCAGCAGAAACAATTTTCACGACTCTTCTGAGCTCCCAGGCCTGTCGCTGCCCGGGCAGCTCCGGGGGACCCGATAATTGCGGGTCTGACGGGGAGTGGGTCCCAGCGGCACACACTATATTCTGGGGTGCACTGGGCCCGGCACAAGGACACAGGATGAGCCCTTCCTGAGCACAGCGCCTGGGCGGCAAGAAGCCGGTGAGTCTGCTCTGTGCTCACGGGGGCGGGTGGGGAAGGAGGACAGGGGTGCAGGAGGGACACGGGCAGGAGGGGACCCGCTCCTGGAGCACAGCCGGAGCAGATATCTCCCAGGCTAGTGAAGACAGCGGGGTGCAGGCCCCCACCCTGAGGGCGCCTGGTGTCTGGCTCGGGCTCCACAGGCCCAGGGGGCTGCAGGTGCAGGCAGCCCAGGAGCACCCTGACTCCCCTGACCTCAGCGTGGAGGATCTGGGGCTCCTGCTGTTCAGCCTCCTTAGCAGGAGTCCTGGCCATGCCCAGGGCCATGGGGCATCTAGGGGCCTCCCTGCTGGTGAGACAGGGCCAGGGGCTCCACGGGCTCTGGTCCTGGCAGAAAGCCCTTCTAAGAGCCAGTGGGGAGGAGACGGTCCCCGACACGGAGGGTGAGGGATGCAGCGGGCTGCGTCCATGGGTCCCCACTGTGGAGAGACTTTCCTCCTAAATGTAGGGACAGCAGCACTGTAGGAAAATAAAGCTGCGGGCTGCAGACGTTTTCAGGCTGAAGAGTGTCCTGTCCCATCTCTGCCGCTGTCCATGTGATAACCCCGTCACTCTGGGCACCAGTCCCGCCTCGGCAGGTCTGTGTCTGCTCCTTCCCCTTCACGCACGCTCTGGCCTCATGACCGGCCGTCCTGGGACCCAGCCCTGCAGCTCAGGTGCCAACAGCTAATGGCTGAGGTTGGTGACCAGGAGCCGCACCTCTCTGTGCTCTCTTCTGAGGCTGCACTTCTCGCCCTGGTGCTCGGGCGCGCAGCTCCTGGAGGGGCCCGAGGCTCTGCTGTGCTCCTGCCGTCCTGCCGCTCTGCACCTGCCAGGCTCACAGAGAGCCCAGGACACCCTGTAGCCCATGGTGGGGGCTCCCTGGTCTCTGTAGCTTTAGCAAAGTGTAAAACTGACTCAGATATTGAGCCATCCTGGTGGCGCAGCGGTTGAGCGCTGAGTTGCGAAACTGCTCGTAGCCTCTGTAGCATCGGTTCGACACTGGCCGCAGGTGAGGGTCGCACATGGGGCTCAGACCTCTCCTCTCGCCCACTGTTCCCCTCAGCCATGTGTTTCGTCAGTCTGCCTGTTCTGCTCCCCGCTCTGGCTCTGGTGAATTCTCTCACCCTCCCCCGCTTCTGACTGTACCCAGTGCTTGTATAATAAATAGATAAATAAATCTTTAAAAAAAATGAGTAAGATATTAGATCAAAAATAAGTGGAAATTTGTCACTAGCAAAGTTAAACCAAGTGCCACGACTCTCACCAGTAGTGACAAAATACACAGTCAAATCTAGCTGTGATTTACCTGGAGACCGGCTGAGGGGCCCCTGTGAGTGTGGGTCCAGTGTCCTGTGTTGTCCCCGCCCAGCCAGGTGCAGCTCTCCTCTCGGCCCGAACCGAGGAATGAGTCTGGAGAACCAGGATCCCCTGTGTGCCTGTGCGCCCTCCTCTTCACGGGGTCTGGAGAGGGCCGCCTCAGGAGTCGTGAGGAAGGAAGTTACCTTGCCTGGGGCACGTCAGAGCCGTGAGTCCTGGTTGTCCGTTCAGCCACTGAAAGTCTCGAAAGGATGAGCGCCTTGACGTGAACATGTCAGAGCGGGAGCTGTGCTGGGAGGGGAGGTCAGGGCTGCACCTGCCATGATCCAGGAGCCTGAGCCTCGGGTTCCTGGACAGGGTCCTCCTGCTCAGAAGGCCCACGTCAGCCTGGGAACTGGCAGGATGGACGCCAGGCATTTGGCCGTACAAATGATTTTCTTCTTACAAATTGTGCTCGGGCTTCTGGGGAACCTCTCTCTCCTTTCCCATCACCTCTTTGTCTCTCTCACTGGCTGTCGGCCGAGGGCCACCGATTTTATTGTCAAGAACCTGATTGTGGCCAATTGCCTGGTCCTCATGTCGAGTGGAATCTGCTATCCAGTGACGTTCTTTGGGGAGATCCCCATCCTCAACGATTTTGGATGCAGATTTTGCCATTATGCGCGACAGGTGGGCAGGGGCATGTCCATCAGCACCACCTGCCTCCTGAGTGTGGTCCAGGCCGTCACCATCAGCCCCTGGCGCTGCAGGGGGGCAGGGCTGAGAGGGAAACCTCCCAAGTGCGTCCTGCCCTGCATTGCCCTGTGCTGGGTCCTGAGCCTGCTGGTAAATTCCATCATTGCCGTATTCATGTCTAGCAGTTTCAGTGACAAAAATGACACAAGCAGGAAAAGGTATGGACAGTGTTCCTCTGTTCGTCACGACCCAGCCAGAGACTTCTTATATGGGGCTTTACTCTCCTTCCCGGAGGTTGTGTTTTTTGTGACCATGGTCGGGTCCAGCGGCTCCATGGTCTACACCCTGTCCCGGCACAGGCAGCGGGTCCGTCACCTTCACGGGTTCACCTCATCAACGTCCTCCCCCGAGTCTAGGGCCACTCACACCATCCTGCTCCTGGTGAGCACCTTCATCTGCTTTAACATCATTTCCTCCGTGTTGAAGATTGTTGTGTCTCTTATGTATAATCCCGACTGGTTCCTTTTTAACATCAATACAGTAATCACGCTGTCTTTCCCGACTCTCTGTCCTTTTCTGCTCTTGAGCCAGGAATACAAGGTGTCCCTGCTGTGCTCTGCCCGGATGAGGAATAGTAAATGCCACAAACCCTTGAGAGACATGTAAACTGCGTGTGAGTGCACAGTCATTTATTCATTCGATAATTCACTCAACATCCCCAGTGCTAACTGCAGTCGTGAGTGACTTATGGTTTATGGACAGGCAGAGCAGCCTCTTCATAGCAAGTGTTTTGGGATCAGTCACCGTAACGAGGTCAGTACAGGGGTCCCTAATACTCCTGTGGGGAACATAGCCTTGCTCCAGATGGTTAGCAATGTGTGGGAGACAGCACGCGGTTGGTATACTCTCTGGCATAGCGGTAGGCCTCAACTGTGTCACTTTAATTCTCACAGTAAATTCTGAGATGTTCCTAAGGGAACATTAGGAATTTTCCATCCTAATGGAATGGAGCTGAGGACACAAGGATATGGCACAGTGGGTGCAGGACAGCCCTGGAGCTGGAGTCAGCTGTCCTGAGGGGAGACCCCGGCAGCGAGTCAGGCTTTGGGAGCAGTTTTCAGTTTTGCACATTCCACCCTCAGGGAGGCGGAGCCCTTATTTGAGAAGGGCATGTGAAGGCGATTCCCTGCCTGAGCATCCTCTGGGAGACCTGCAGACGGATGGGCTGGGTCCAGCAGGCACAGACCCACAGCTTAACTGGTTTTGAGCCACCAGAGGGTGAGGGTGATGGTGAGGATTCAAGGAGACGAGCTTTGCGTGGCCTGGGGTGTGCAGGAGCCAAATCTCTCCCACGGATGTGAGCGGGTTTGCAAGACACAGACTGGAGGTGCCCTCTCTAGTCGCTCAGGGTGGAGGCGCAGGAAACTCGGCACCTGGGGAGATGCACTTGGAAGGAAAGAGTTGGATCCCCTGTGTGTTCAGGGGCCAAGTGCGTGTGTCCTCAGTCTCAGGAGGGGCATGTATAGAGCTTGCTCTGAATGTACAGCGTGGAGCTCACGCAAAATATGAAGCATTCAACAGTGTGTGACTCAAAGCACTTATTGTGACAGACTTGTCTGTACGTATCTGAGCTCACGTGACACACTTTGTAGGACCACAAAGCACAAAGAGGAGAAGCTCATGGACGCTCACATCGTACAACTGCATTTTGTTTCCATGTGTGCCCATGCAGATCTGCAGATGTGTCAGCGATCACATGTGTGGCCTGGGTGCTTGTAGTGTATGCACCTGTATCCGTGTCCACCTACAGCAATCATGTCCTTTATCGACGCATTAGAACTTCCTACTTTGAGAGAAATGACCAATCCTATTATCTAGAATATTGACATTTCTTAAAGTGTGTTCTATCTGGTGTGTATATTGCTATACAATCGATTGTTTAAAAAAATACATGCTTTTCCTATTATCAATTTATTGTTTAACCAACCTCTTAAAACAAATCCAAAGTGTATAGTAACATTTATTTGAACTTAAAAGTTGCAATTCACCTTTAAGTGTAATATAGTATTTTCATTATTATATTAGATGTATAATTTTAGAATGTCTTTTCATATTTTGTCTATGCTAGCTTCTTTTCCTTTGGTGTTAAATGTGATCCTATTAGAAATGCACTCGATATTTCTGCATTATAATCACCACATCTTCTTCGAAGGTTGTGTAGAAAGTATTGTTTGATTGTTTTTTAAAGATTAATTTATGCGTAGGAGAGTTGGGATACAGGCCTTGATGGGGGTGGGTTGAGAAGATTCACCAGAGACACAGTGGGGAACGGAACAGGCAGACTGACTGAAACACACTGCTGAGGGGAGCAGCGGGTGAGACAGCCCTATGGGTTTCATCCTGGTTGATCTGGGATCGAACTCGTGCTGCAGAGGCTGTGGATCGCCTCACAGTGCGGCGTTTAAACCCTTGCACCACCAGGGAGGCCCTATATTGTTTGATTTTTACCTAGAAATTTCATTCTGTTTCTAAGAGCTCACCACAGCGACATTTAGTCGCTGAATCCACCTTTGCCACATCAGGACGTGGAAATATGAGTCTGTTTTCCTCATCCCATCTTTCTAAGCCCTCTGGTATGGTTTTTACATACTTAACGCCCCACCCCGGTGAGGCAGAGTAAGTCCCCATGAGCTCACCCTGTCCTCAGTCCCTGGATACCAAAAACAGGGTCTTGTCTAACCCTGGCCTCGGGGTCCCCCCACAACCACCCCTCAGGCCACCCTGCTCTGCCACCTGACCCAAGGTCACCACCCAGCAGGGCCCTTTTTGTGGAGGAGGTGGATCGAGCACCTTCCTCTTTGGGTCTGTTTGATGCTGTCTATGCATTTTCTGCTGCCCTGATGTTGGTCCTTCCCTGACGTTGCTGTCCAGCACCCTGTTGTGTCACCAGCAAACACCTGATCATACCTGGTTACTTTGCCCAGGGAGCACCCCACATCCCCCAACCCCAGTTCCTCCAGGTCCTAGGGGCTGAGGGAGAAGCTTTGTTTCTTGTAAAGAAATTCTAATTCAATAAATCTGCGCCTCCTGAGCGAGTGTCCTCACGACATTTATAGCTCTAGACCCTGCCATGTCTGCTGTGTCCTTAGGGTCAAGTCCTGCCCACAGCCCACTGGAGGTGAGTTTGACACTTCTGTGTGGATTTCAGGCTTAACCGCTTCTCAGAAGCCCATGGTATCTTCTTCCAGCCAGCAGGAGGACTGTTCATGGAGACGCGATTTTCTTCTGCTGTGGGGAAGCTTTGAGGGGGATGTGGCCCCAGTTGCTTCATTTTGCTTTTGTTTCCCTTGCTGGGATCGGTCCCCAAACACATCTCTGAGCCTGATCGCGATGGCATCGATCTATGTTTTCTTCCCTGGAGTTTACGGTCTCAGGTCCTCCACCCAATGTTTATTCCATTTTGTGTTCATGTTCACGGTGGTGGAGCATGTGCGCCAGCTCCACTCTGCTGTGCGAGGTTGTCCAGTTTCCCCAACTCTGTCTGTGGGAAACTGTCTCCCTGTCTTGTAAGCTGTCGGTTTCTGTGCCGTAAATGTCCTCCACGTGAGTGTGCTCTCTTTCCAGACACTCACAGACAAGACGTTTGTCCCTGAGCTGAAACTGGAATCCACAGGCAGTAAAAGTAGGTTCCTGTAGCGATTTCTGTATCGCAAGTTCACTGCAGCGATTGCAAGAGCCAAGAGGTGACAGAGCCCACAGCTGATGAACTGACCAAGAAGCCAGCAGGCCAAGGCCGAGAGCGCCATGTGGTTCCCGGGTGGGAAAAAGAGGGGTGAGTTCTGGGGGAACAGACCGGCAGACGCCGGGACTACCTAGACACTACCTGGGAACATAGACAAGGGGGGATCCCACTCATGTGACCCTCTTAGCATCCGGATGCTAATTTTGCAGCCGCTGAGGGGAAGGGAGACCTTGGGCTGTGATGGCGGTGCGGGCCCCGGGCCTTGTTGCATTGGGTTGGGGCCCGGACATCTGCATTGGCCACAGCCCCCAGGGCTCGTGGCTGTGAGCAGTGAAGGGAGCTCCAGTGGCCGCGACGGGATCGTGCTGGGAAGGAGAGCTCTGCAGTGGATTCCATGGGCTCCCTCCCCTCATCATCTTGTCGCCTGTCTATCCCGCTTCTGCCATTAATTTATTTATTAAGATTTGTTTATTTATGAATACAAGAGCTGGGGTACAGGCCAGAGATGGGGGGTGAGAGGATCCACCAGAAAAGAGCAGGAAATAGAACAGGCACTGACTGCAATACACTGCTGAGGGGAGCAGCGGGTGAGTCAGGAGAGGGCTGCCTCGCCATGTGGGTTTCTCCCTGGCCTGCCAGGGATTGAACTCGTGCTGCAGAGGCTGTGGATCACTTCATAGTGCGGTGCATAACCCCTTGTGCCACCAGGGAGGCCCTAAGTGAGTCTCAATTGTGTTCTCTTTGGATACCCGTAAAGTATCACCCCCATGTAGCCCCAGGCATCTCCCCCACTTTCGACCCCAGACACCACCGTGCTGCTCCCTCCATGATGTGCTCCTCATGTTCCCCCTCGCTCCTGAGCCTCCTGGTCTGTGTGCCTCAGCACCTGCACAGGTCACTAGGACTCCCTGCCTGGGCACCAGCCCCCAAGTCCCCAGAGCGCCCTCTCCGCCGCATGCTGCGCCCTCTCTGCCATCCGGCCTCCTGCCAACCACTCGGCCACCGCCAGCCCTCCTGCATCTGTGTCCATGCAGAGCCCACCGTCTGCCTCCTCCCTGACCTGCTCTCCACCCAGTTCAGCCGCCCCAAGTCCACGGACCCTTACTCGGGCCTAGACTCCCTCGAGAACCCACTGAAACTTGGGCCTGCCACCCTGCCACCCTGACTCCCGGGGGTGAACCTCTCAGTGAGCAGAGCCTCCCTGGGCCGCCCCTCCTCTGCAGACTCCAGGCTGTCCTGTTTATTCTGGGGCTCCTCCCAGGAGCTCTGATGCCCCCAGCGCCCAGGGAATCAGAGTCTCCCCAACGCCCCAATCTCTGGACAGCTGCTAAGGACTCAGAAGTTGTTCTTGGCAATTAGCAGCAGAAACAATTTTCACGACTCTTCTGAGCTCCCAGGCCTGTCACTATCGGGCAGCTCCAGGGGATCCGATAATTGCGGGTCTGACGGGGAGTGGGTCCCAGCGGCAGACACTATATTCTGGGGTGCACTAGGCCCGGCACGAGGACACAGGATGAGCCCTTCCTGAGCCCAGCACCCGGGCGGCAAGTAGCCGGTGAGTCTGCTCTGTGTTCACGGGGGCGGATGTGGGAGGAGGACAGGGGTGCAGGAGGGACACGGGCAGGAGGGGACCCGCTCCTGGAGCACAGCCGGTGCAGATATCTCCCAGGCTAGTGAAGACAGCGGGGTGCAGGCCCCCACCCTGTGTGCGCCTGGTGTCTGGCTCGGGCTCCACAGGCCCAGGGGGCTGCGGGTCCAGGCAGCCCAGGAGCACCCTGACTCCCCTGACCTCAGCGTGGAGGATCTGGGGCTCCTGCTGTTCAGCCTCCTCAGCAGGAGTCCTGGCCTGATGCCCAGGGCCATGGGGCATATAGGGGCCTCCCTGCTGGTGAGACAGGGCCGGGGGCTCCACGGGGCTCTGGTCCTGGCAGAAAGCCCGTCTGAGAGCCGGTGGGGAGGAGACGGTCCCCGACACGGAGGGTGAGGGATGCAGCGGGCTGCGTCCATGGGTCTGCACTGTGCAGAGACTTTCCTCCTAAATGTAGGGACAGCAGCACTGTAGGAAAATAAAGCTGCGGGCTGCAGACGTTTTCAGGCTGAAGAGTGTCCTGTCCCATCTCTGCCGCTGTCCATGTGATAACCCCGTCACTCTGGGCACCAGTCCCGCCTCGGCAGGTCTGTGTCTGCTCCTTCCCCTTCACGCACGATCTGGTCTCATGACTGGCCGTCCTGGGACCCAGCCCTGCAGCTCAGGTGCCAACAGCTCCTGGCTGAGGTTGGTGACCAGGACCCGCGCCTCCCTGTGCTCTCTTCTGAGGCTGCACTTCTCGCCCTGCTGCTCGGGCGCGCAGCTCCTGGAGGGGCCCGAGGCTCTGCTGTGCTCCTACCGTCCTGCTGCTCTGCACCTGCCAGGCTCACAGAGAGCCCAGGACACCCTGTAGCCCGTGCTGGGGGCTCCCTGGTCTCCGTAGCTTTAGCAAAGTGTAAAACTGACTCAGATATTGAGCCATCCTGGTGGCGCAGCGGTTGAGCGCTGAGTTGCGAAACTGCTCGTAGCCTCTGTAGCGTCGGTTCGACACTGGCCGCAGGTGAGGGTCGCACATGGGGCTCAGACCTCTCCTCTCGCCCACTACTCCCCTCCGCCGTGTGTTTTTTTCAGTCTGCCTGTTCTGCTTCTCGCTCTGGCTCTGGTGAATTCTCTCACCCTCCCCCGCTTCTGACTGTACCCAGTGCTTGTATAATAAATAGATAAATAAATCTTTAAAAAAAAATGAGTAAGATATTAGATCAAAAATATGTGAAAATTTGTCACTAGCAAAGTTAAATCAAGTGCCACGGCTCTCACCAGTAGTGACAAAATACACAGTCAAATCTAGCTGTCATTTACCTGGAGACCGGCTGAGGGGCCCCTGTGAGTGTGGGTCCAGTGTCCTGTGTTGTCCCCGCCCAGCCAGGTGCAGCTCTCCTCTCGGCCCGAACCGAGGAATGAGTCTGGAGAACCAGGATCCCCTGTGTGCCTGTGCGCCCTCCTCTTCACGGGGTCTGGAGAGGCCGCCTCAGGAGTCGTGAGGAAGGAAGTTACCTTGCCTGGGGCACGTCAGAGCCGTGAGTCCTGGTTGTCCGTTCAGCCACTGAAGTCTCGAAAGGATGAGCGCCTTGACGTGAACATGTCAGAGCGGGAGCTGTGCTGGGAGGGGAGGTCAGGGCTGCACCTGCCATGATCCAGGAGCCTGAGCCTCGGGTTCCTGGACAGGGTCCTCCTGCTCAGAAGGCCCACGTCAGCGTGGGAACTGGCAGGATGGACGCCAGGCATTTGGCCGTACAAATGATTTTCTTCTTCCAAATTGTACTCGGGCTTCTGGGGAACCTCTCTCTCCTTTCCCATCACCTCTTTGTCTCTCTCACTGGCTGTCGGCCGAGGGCCACCGATTTCATTGTCAAGAACCTGATTGTGGCCAATTGCCTGGTCCTCATGTCGGGTGGAATCTGCTATCCAGTGACATTCTCTGGGGAGATCCCCATCCTTAACGACTTTGGATGCAGATTTTGCCATTATGCGCGACAGGTGGGCAGGGGCATGTCCATCAGCACCACCTGCCTCCTGAGTGTGGTCCAGGCCGTCACCATCAGCCCCTGGTGCTGCAGGGGGGCAGGACTGAGAGGGAAACCTCCCAAGTGCGTCCTGCCCTGCATTGCCCTGTCCTGGGTCCTGAGCCTTCTGGTAAATTCCATCATTGCCATGTTCATGTCTAGCAATTCCAGTGACAAAAATGACACAAGCAGGAAAAGGTATGGACAGTGTTCCTCTGTTCGTCTCGACCCAGCCAGAGACTTCTTATATGGGGCTTTACTCTCCTTCCCCGAGGTTGTGTTTTTTGTGACCATGGTCGGGTCCAGCGGCTCCATGGTCTACACCCTGTCCCGGCACAGGCATCGGGTCCGGCACCTTCATGGGTTCTCCTCCTCCACGTCCTCCCCCGAGTCTAGGGCCACTCACACCATCTTCATCCTGGTCAGCACCTTCGTCTGCTTTAACATCATTTCCTCTGTGCTGAAGATGGTTGTGGCTGTTATGTATAATCCCGACTGGTATCTTTATAACATCAATACAGTAATCACACTGTGTTTCCCGACTCTCTGTCCTTTTCTGCTCTTGAGCCAGGAATACAAGGTGTCCCTGCTGTGCTCTGCCCGGATGAGGAATAGTAAATGCCACAAACCCTTGAGAAATATGTAAACTGCGTGTGAGTGCACGGTCATTTATTCATTCGATAATTCGCTCAACATCCCCAGTGCTAACTGCAGTCGTGAGTGACTTATGGTTTATGGACAGGCGGAGCAGCCTCTTCACAGCAAGTGTTTTTGGATCAGTCACCGTAACGAGGTCTGTACAGGGGTCCCTAATACTCCTGTGTGGAACAAAGCCTTGCGCCAGTGGTTAGCAGTGTGTGGGAGACAGCATGTGGTCCGGACACTCTGGCATAGCAGAGAGGCCTCAACTGTGTCACTTTCATTCTCACAGTAAGTTCTGAGATGTTCCTAAGGGAACATTAGGAATGTTCCCATCCTAACGGAATGGAGCTGAGGACACAAGGAAATGGCACAGTGGGTGCAGGGCAGCCCTGAGGTGGAGTCAGCTGTCCTGAGGGGAGACCCTGGCAAGAGTCAGGCTTCGGCAGCAGCTTTCAGTCTTGCACATTCCACCCTCAGGGAGGCGGAGCCCTTATTTGAGAATGGAGTGCGAAGGCGATTCTGTGCCAGAGCATCCTCTGGTAGACCTGCGGACGGATGGGCTGGGTCCAGCGGCACCGACGCACAGCTTAACTGGTTTTGAGCACCAGAGGGTGAGGGTGATGGTGAGGATTCAAGGAGACGAGCTTTGCGTGGCCTGGGGTGTGCAGGAGCAAAATCTCTCTCACGGTGAAGGGGATGTGAGCAGGGTTGCAAGACACAGAGTGGAGGTGCCCAGTCGCTCAGGGTGGAGGCTCAGGAAACTCGGCACCTGGGCAGATGCACTTGGAAGGAAAGAGCTGGATCCCCTGTGTGTTCACGGTGCCAAGGGCGTGTGTCCTCAGTCTCAGGAGGGGCATGTATAGAGCTTGCTCTGAATGTACAGCGTGGAGCTCACGCAAATTATGAAGCATTCAACAGTGTGCGACTCAAAGCACTTATTGTGACAGACTTGTCTGTACATATCTGAGCTCACGTGACACACTTTCTCAGACCACAAAGCACAAAGAGGAGAAGCTCATGGACGCTCACATCGTACAACTGCATTTTGTTTCCATGTGTGCCCATGCAGATCTGCAGATGTGTGTCAGCGATCACATGTGTGGCCTGCGTGCTTGTAGTGTAGGCACCTGTATCCGTGTCCACCTACAGCAATCATGTCATTTATCGACGCATTAGAACGTCCTAATTTGAGAGAAATGACCAATCCTATTATATAGAATAGTGACATTTCTTAAAGTGTGTTTTATCTGGTGTGTATATTGCTATATCATCGATTGTTAAAATATATACATGATTTTCCTATTATCAATTTATGGTTTAGCCATAGCTCTTTAAAAAAATCCAAAGTGTATAGTAACATTTATTTGAACTTAAAAGTTGTAATTCACCTTTAAGTGTAATACGGTATTTTTTATTATATTAGATGTACAATTTTAGAATTTCTTTTCATATTTTGTCTATGCTAGCTTCTTTTCCTTTGGTTTTAAATGTGATCCTATATTACAAATGCACTTGATATTTCTGCATTATAATCACCGCATCTTCTTTGAAAGTTGTGCGCAAAGTATTGTTTGATTTTTTCCTAAAGATTTATTTATTCATACAAGAACTGGCAGACTGACTGAAATATACTGCTCATGGGAGCAGCGGGTGAGACAGCCATGGGGGTTGCATCCTGGATGGCCTGGGTTGGAACTCGTGCTGCAGAGACTGTGGATCTTATCATATGCGGCGTTTAACCCCTTGCACCACCAGGGAGGCCCAGTATTGTTTGATTTTAACCTAGAAACTTTATTCTGTTTCTAAGAGCTCACCACAGCGACATTTAGTCCCTGAATCCACCTTTGCCACATCAGGATGTGGAAATATGAGTCTGTTTTCCTCATCCCATCTTTCTAAGCCCTCTGGTATGGTTTTTACATACTTAACGCCCCACCCCGGTGAGGCAGAGTAAGTCCCCATGAGCTCACCCTGTCCTCAGTCCCTGGATACCACAAACAGGGTCTTGTCTGCCCCAGATCGGGTTCCCCCCACAACCACCCCTCAGAACACCCTGCTCTGCCACCTGCCCCAAGGTCACCAACCGGCGGGGCCCTTTCTGTGGAGGAGGTGGAGCGAGCACCTTCCTCTTTGGGTCTGTTTGATGCTGTCTGTGCGTTTCTTGCTGCCCTGATGTTGGTCCTTCCCTGGTACTGCTGTCCAGGAACCTCTTGTGTGACCAGCAAACACCTGATCATACCTGGTTACTTTGCCCAGGGAGCGCCCCACATCCCCAAGTCCAGTTTCTCCAGGTCCCAGAGCCTGACAGGAGAAGCTTTGTTCCTTGTAAAGAAATTCTGATTCGATAAATCTGCACCTCCTGAGCGAGTGTCCTCACCACAATTGGAGCCCTAGACCCTGCCATGTCTGGCTGTGTCCTTAGGGTCAAGTCCTGCCCACATCCCACTGGAGGTGAGTTTGACACTTCTGTGTGGATTTCAGGCTTAACCGCTTCTCAGAAGTCCATGGTATCTTCTTCCAGCCAGCAGGAGGACTGTTCATGGAGACGTGATTTTCTCCTGCTGTTGGAAGCTTTGAGGGGGATGTGGCCCCAGTTGCTTCATTTTGCTTTTGTTTCCCTTTGCTGGGATCAGTCCCCAAACACATCTCCGAGCCTGATCGCGATGGCATCGATATGTGTTTTCTTCCCTGGAGTTTACGGTCTCAGGTCCTCCACCCAATGTTTATTCCATTTTGTGTTCATGTTCACGGTGGTGGAGCATGTGCGCCAGCTCCACTCTGCTGTGCGAGGTTGTCCAGTTTCCCCAACTCTGTCTGTGGGAAACTGTCTCCCTGTCTTGTAAGCTATCGGTTTCTGTGCCGTAAATGTCCTCCACGTGAGTGTGCTCTCTTTCCAGACACTCACAGACAGGACGTTTGTCCCTGAGCAGAAACTAAAATCCACAGGCAGTAAAAGTAGGTTCCTGTAGCGATTTCTGTATCGCAAGTTCACTGCAGCGATTGCAAGAGCCAAGAGGTGACAGAGCCCACAGCTGATGAACTGACCAGGAAGCCGTCAGGCCAAGGCCGAGAGCGCCTTGTGGTTCCCGGGTGGGAAAAAGAGGGGTGAGTTCTGGGGGAACAGACCGGCAGGTAGCTGGGGCTACCTAGACACTACCTGGGAACATAGACAAGGTGGGATCCCACTCATGTGACCCCCTTAGCGTCTGGATGCTAATTTTGCAGCCGCTGAGGGGAAGGGAGACCTTGGGCTGTGATGGCGGTGCAGGCCCCGGGCCTTGTTGCATTAGGTTGGGGCCCGGACACCTGCATTGGCCACAGCCCTCAGGGCTCGTGGCTTGAGCAGTGAAGGGAGCTCCAGTGGCCGCGACGGGATCGTGCTGGGAAGGAGAGCTCTGCAGTGGAATCCATGGGGTCCCTCCCCTCGTCACCTTGTCGCCTGTCTATCCTGCTTCTGCCATTTATTTATTTATTAAGATTTGTTTATTTATGAATACAAGAGCTGGGGTACAGGCCAGAGATGCGGGGGTGAGAGGATCCACCATAAAAGAGCAGGAAATAGAACAGGCACTGACTGCAATACACTGCTGAGGGGAGCAGCGGGTGAGTCAGGAGAGGGCTGCCTCGCCATGTGGGTTTCTCCCTGGCCGACCAGAGTTTGAACTCATGCTGCAGAGGCTGTGGATCACTTCACAGTGCGGTGCATACCCCTTGTGCCACCAGGGGGGCCCTAAGTGAGTCTCAATTGTGTTCTCTTTGGATACCCGTAAAGTATCAGCCCCCATGTAGCCCCAGGCCACTCCCCCACTTTCGACCCCAGAAGCCACCGTACTGCTCCCTCCATGATCTGTCCCTCATGTTCCCCCTCGCTCCTGAGCCTCCTGGTCTGTGTGCCTCAGCACCTGCACAGGTCACTAGGACTCCCTGCCTGGGCACCAGCCCCCAAGTCCCCAGAGCGCCCTCTCCGCCGCATGCTGCGCCCTCTCTGCCATCTGGCCTCCTGCCAACCACTCGGCCACCGCCAGCCCTCCTGCATCTGTGTCCATGCAGAGCCCACCGTCTGCCTCCTCCCTGACCTGCTCTCCACCCAGTTCAGCCGCCCCAAGTCCACGGACCCTTACTTGGGCCTAGACTCCACCGAGAACCCACTGAATCTTTGACCTGCCACCCTGCCACCTTGACTCCCGGGGGTGAACCTCTCAGTGAGCAGAGCCCCTCCGGGCTGCCCCTCCTCCTGCAGACTCCAGGCTGTCCTGTTCATTCTGGGGCTCCTCCCAGGAGCTCTGATGCCCCAGCACCCAGGGAATCAGAGTCTCCCCAACGCCCCAATCTCTGGACAGCCGCTGAGGACCCTGAATTTTTTCTAGGCAATTAGCAGCAGAAACAATTTTCACGACTCTTCTGAGCTCCCAGGCCTGTCACTGCCCAGGCAGCTCCAGGGGACCCGATAATTGCGGGTCTGACGGGGGGCCCCAGCGGCACATACTATATCTGGGGTGCAGTGGGCCCGGCACAAGGACACAGGATGAGCCCTTCCTGAGCACAGCGCCCGGGCGGCAAGTAGCCGGTGAGTCTCCTCTGTGTTCACGGGCGCGGATGTGGGAGGAGGACAGGGGTGCAGGAGGGACACGGGCAGGAGGGGACCCACTCCTGGAGCACAGCCGGAGCAGATATCTCCCAGGCTAGTGAAGACAGCGGGGTGCAGGCCCCCACCCTGAGGGCGCCTGGTGTCTGGCTCGGGCTCCACAGGCCCAGGGGGCTGCGGGTCCAGGCATCCCAGGAGCACCCTGACTCCCCTGACCTCAGCGTGGAGGATCTGGGGCTCCTGCTGTTCAGCCTCCTCAGCAGGAGTCCTGGCCTGATGCCCAGGGCCATGGGGTGTCTAGGGGCCTCCCTGCTGGTGAGACAGGGCCGGGGGCTCCACGGGGCTCTGGTCCCTGCAGGAAGCCCGTCTGAGAGCCGGTGGGGAGGAGACGGTCCCTGACTCGGCGGGTGAGGGTCGCTGCGGGCTGTGTTCACGAGTCCCCACTGTGGAGAGACTTTCCTCCCTACATGTAGGGACAGCAGCACTGTAGGAAAATAAAGCTGCGGGCTGCAGACGTTTTCAGGCTGAAGAGTGTCCTGTCCCATCTCTGCCGCTGTCCATGTGATAACCCCGTCACTCTGGGCACCAGTCCCGCCTCGGCAGGTCTGTGTCTGCTCCTTCCCCTTCACGTACGCTCTGGTCTCATGACTGGCCGTCCTGGGACCCAGCCCTGCAGCTCAGGTGCCAACAGCTCCTGGCTGAGGTTGGTGACCAGGAGCCTCGCCTCCCTGTACTTTCCTCTGAGGCTGCGCTTCCGGCCCCGATGCTCGGGCACGCAGCTCCTGGAGGGGCCGGAGGCTCTGCTGTGCTCCTGCCGTCCTGCCGCTCTGCACCTGCCAGGCTCACAGAGAGCCCAGGACACCCCGTAGCCCATGCTGGGGGCTCCCTGGTCTCTGTAGCTTTAGCACAGTGTAAAACTGAGCGCTGGTTTGCAAAACTGCTCGCAGCCTCTGTAGCATCGGTTTGATCCCTGGCCACTAGGCGAGGGTCCCACATGGTGCACAGACCTCTCCTATTGCCGACTGCTCCCTGCAGCTGTGTATTTCGTCAGTCTGCCTGTTCTGCTTCCCCCTCTGGCTCTGGTGAATTCTCTCACCCTCCCGCGCTTCTGACTGTACCCAGTGCTTGTATAAATAAATAAATAAATCTTTAAAAAAAAACTGACTAAGATATTACAATAAAAATAAGTGGAAATTTGTCACTACCTAAGTTAAATCAAGTGCCACGACTCTCACCAGTAGTGACAAAATACACAGTCAAATCTAGCTGTGATTTACCTGGAGACCCGGCTGAGGGGCCCCTGTGAGTGTGGGTCCAGTGTCCTGTGTTGTTCCCCGCCCAGCCAGGTGCAGCTCTCCTCTCGGCCCGAACCGAGGAATGAGTCTGGAGAACCAGGATCCCCTGTGTGCCTGTGCGCCCTCCTCTTCACGGGGTCTGGAGAGGCCGCCTCAGGAGTCGTGAGGAAGGAAGTTACCTTGCCTGGGGCACGTCAGAGCCGTGAGTCCTGGTTGTCCGTTCAGCCACTGAAAGTCTCGAAAGGATGAGCGCCTTGACGTGAACATGTCAGAGCGGGAGCTGTGCTGGGAGGGGAGGTCAGGGCTGCACCTGCCATGATCCAGGAGCCTGAGCCTCGGGTTCCTGGACAGGGTCCTCCTGCTCAGAAGGCCCACGTCAGCCTGGGAACTGGCAGGATGGACGCCAGGCATTTGGCCATACAAATGATTTTCTTCTTACAAATTGTGCTCGGGCTTCTGGGGAACCTCTCTCTCCTTTCCCATCACCTCTTTGTCTCTCTCACTGGCTGTCGGCCGAGGGCCACCGATTTCATTGTCAAGAACCTGATTGTGGCCAATTTCCTGGTCCTCATGTCGAGTGGAATCTGCTATCCAGTGACGTTCTTTGGGGAGATCCCCATCCTCAACGATTTTGGATGCAGATTTTGCCATTATGCGCGACAGGTGGGCAGGGGCATGTCCATCAGCACCACCTGCCTCCTGAGTGTGGTCCAGGCCGTCACCATCAGCCCCTGGCGCTGCAGGGGGGCAGGACTGAGAGGGAAACCTCCCAAGTGCCTCCTGCCCTGCATTGCCCTGTGCTGGGTCCTGAACCTGCTGGTAAATTCCATCTTTGCCGTGTTCATGACTAGCAATTTCAGTGACAAAAATGACACAAGCAGGAAAATGTTTGGGCAGTGTTCCTCTGTTCGTCATGACCCAGCCAGTGACATCTTATACGGGACTTTGCTCTCCTTCCCTGAGGGTGTGTTTTTTGTGACCATGGTCGGGGCCAGCGGCTCCATGGTCTACACCCTGTCCCGGCACAGGCAGCGGGTCCGGCACCTTCACGGGTTCGCCTCCTCCACGTCCTCCCCCGAGTCTAGGGCCACTCACACCATCTTGATCCTGGTCAGCACCTTCATCTGCTTTAACATCATTTCCTCCATGCTGAAGATGCTTGTGGCTGTTATGTATAATCCCGACTGGTTCCTTGTGAACATCAATCCAGTAATCACACTGTGTTTCCCGACTCTCTGTCCTTTTCTGCTGTTGAGCCAGGAATACAAGGTGTCCCTGCCGTGCTCTGCCCGGATGAGGAATAGTAAATGCCACAAACCCTTGAGAAACATGTAAACCGCGTGTGAGTGCACGGTCATTCATTCATTCGATAATTCACTCAACATCCCCAGTGCTAACTGCAGTCGTGTGTGATTTGTGGTTTATGGAGAAGATGAGGAACCTCTTTAGAGCAAGTGTTTTTGGATCAGTCACTGTAACGAGGTCTGTACGGGGGTCCCTAATACTCCTGTGCAGAGCCTTGCGCCAGATGGTTAGCAGTGTGTGGGAGACAGCATGTGGTCCGGACACTCTGGCATGGCGGAGAGGCCTCAACTGTGTCACTTTAATTCTCACAGTAAGTTCTGAGATGTTCCTAAGGGAACATTAGGAATGTTCCCGTCCTAATGGAATGGAGCTGAGCTGAGGACACAAGGAAATGGCATGGTGGGTGCAGGGCAGTCTTGGAGCTGGAGTCAGCTGTCCTGAGGGGAGACCCTGGCAGCGAGTCCGGCTTCAGGAGCAGTTTTCAGTCTTGCACATTCCACCCTCAGGGAGGCGGAGCCCTTATTTGAGAAGGGCGTGTGAAGGCGATTCTGTGCCGGAGCATCCTCTGGTAGACCTGCGGACGGATGGGCTGGGTCCAGCAGGCACAGAAGCACACCTTAACTGGTTTTGAGCCACCAGAGGGTGAGGGTGATGGTGACAATTCAAGGAGATGTGCTTTGTGTTGTCTGGGGTGTGTAGGAATAAAGTCTCTCTCACGGTGAACGGGATGTGAGCGGCTTTGCAAGACACATACTGGAGGTGCCCAGTCGCTCAGGGTGGAGGCGCAGGAAACTCGGCACCTGGGGAGATGCACTTGGAAGGAAAGAGCTGCATCCCCTGTGTGTTCAGGGGCCAAGGGCGTGTGTCCTCAGTCTCAGGAGGGACATGTATAGAGCTTGCTCTGAATGTACAGCGTGGAGCTCACGCTAATTATGAAGCATTCAACAGTGTGCGACTCAAAGCACTTATTGTGACAGACTTGTCTGTACATATCTGAGCTCACGTGACACACTTTGTAGGACCACAAAGCACAAAGAGGAGAAGCTCATGGACGCTCACATCGTACAACTGCATTTTGTTTCCATGTGTGCCCATGCAGATCTGCAGATGTGTGTCAGCGATCACATGTGTGGCCTGCGTGCTTGTAGTGTAGGCACCTGTATCCGTGTCCACCTACAGCAATCATGTCACTTATCGACGCATTAGAACATCCTAATTTGAGAGAAATGACCAATCCTATTATCTAGAATAGTGACATTTCTTAAAGTGTGTTTTATCTTGTGTGTATATTGCTATATCATCCATTGTTAAGAAAAATACATGCTTTTCCTATTATCAATTTGTTGTTTAACCATAGCTTTTAAAAAAAACCAAAGTGTATAGTAACATTTATTTGAATTTAAAAGTTGCATTTCGCCTTTAAGTGTAATATAGTATTTTCATTATTATATTAGATGTATAATTTTAGAATTTCTTTTCATAATTTTCCTATGCTAGCTTCTTTTCCTTTGGTGTTAAATGTGATCGTATATTTGAAATGGACTTGATATTTCTGCATTATAGTCACCGCATCTTATTTGAATGTTGTGTCCAAAGTATTGTTTGATTTTTTTAAAGATTTATTTATGCATACGAGAGCTGGGGTACAGGCCAGAGATGTGGGTGTTGAGAAGATTCACTAGAGAGAGAGTGGGGAACAGAACAGGCAGACTGACTGAAACACACTGCTGAGGGGAGCAGCGGGTGAGACAGCCATGTGGGTTGCATCCTGGTTGATCTGGGATCGAACTCGTGCTGCAGAGGCTGTGGATCGCCTCATAGTGCGGCATTTAGCCCCTTGTGCCATCAGGAGGCCCAGTATTGTTTGATTTTAACCTAGAAATTTTATTCTGTTTCTAAGAGCTCACCACAGCGACATTTAGTCGCTGAATCCACCTTTGCCACATGAGGATGTGACAATATGAGTCTATTTTCCTCATCCCATCTTTCTAAGCCCTCTGGTATGGATTTTACATACTTAACGCCCCGCCCCTGTGAGGCAGAGTAAGTCCCCATGAGCTCACCCTGACCTCAGTCCCTGGATACCACATACAGGGTCTTGTCCTCCCTAGCCTCTGGCTCCCCTCACAACGACCCCTCAGGCCACCCTGCTGTGCCACCTGCCCCTAGATCACCAACCGGCGGGGCCCTTTCTGTGGAGGAGGTGGAGCAAGCACCTTCTTCTTTGGGTGTTTTTGATGCTGTCTGTGCGTTTCCTGCTGCCCTGATGTTGGTCCTTCCCTGGTACTGCTGTCCAGGAACCTGTTGTGTGACCAGCAAACACCTCATCATACCTGGTTCCTGTGCCCAGGGAGCGCCCCACACCCTCAAGTCCAGTTCCTCCAGGTCCTAGGGGCTGACAGGAGAAGCTTTGTTCCTTGTAAAGAAATTCTGATTCGATAAATCTGCACCTCCTGAGCGAGTGTCCTCACCACTATTGGAGCCCTAGACCCTGCCACGTCTGGCTGTGTCCTTAGGGTCAAAACCTGCCCACAGACAACTGGAGGTGCGCTTGACACTTCTGTGTGGATTTCAGGCCTAACTGCTTCTCAGAAGTATACGGTATCTTCTTCCAGCCAGCAGGAGGACTGTTCATGGAGACGCGATATTCTCCCTCTGTCTGGAGGCTTTTAGGTGGATGTGGCCCCAGTTGCTTCATTTTGCTTTTGTTTCCCTTGCTGGGATCGGTCCCCAAACACATCTCCGAGCCTGATCGCAATGGCATCGATCTATGTTTTCTTCCCTGGAGTTTACGGTCTCAGGTCCTCCACCCAATGTTTACTCCATTTTGTGTTCATGTTCACGGTGGTGGAGCATGTGCGCCAGCTCCACTCTGCTGTGCGAGGTTGTCCAGTTTCCCCAACTCTGTCTGTGGGAAACTGTCTCCCTGTCTTGTAAGCTGTCGGTTTCTGTGCCGTAAATGTCCTCCACGTGAGTGTGCTCTCTTTCCAGACACTCACAGACTTTTTTCCTGAGCTGAATCTAGAGTCCACAGGCAGTAAAAGTAGGTTCCTGTAGCGATTTCTGTATCGCAAGTTCACTGCAGCGATTGCAAGAGCCAAGAGGTGACAGAGCCCACAGCTGATGAACTGACCAGGAAGCCGTCAGGCCAAGGCCGAGAGCGCCTTGTGGTTCTAGGAGGCAGGGTGGGAAAAAGAGGGGTGATTTCAGGGGGGACAGACCAGCAGGTAGCTGGGGCATAGGCATGGAGTTGGGGCCACACCTGGGAACATAGACAAGGTTGGATCCCACACATGTGACACCCCAAACTCCGGATCCTAATTTTGCAGCCGCTGAGGGGAAGGGAGACCCTGGGCTGTGATGGCGGTGCAGGCCCCGGGCCTTGTTGCATTGGGTTGGGGCCCGGACACCTGCAGTGGCCACAGCCCCAGGGCTCGTGGCTGTGAGCAGTGAAGGGAGCTCCAGTGGCCGCGACGTGATCGTGCTGGGGAGGAGAGCTCTGCAGTGGAATCCATGGGCTCCCTCCCCTCATCATCTTTTCGCCTGTCTATCCCGCTTCTGCCATTTATTTATTTATTAAGATTTATTTATTTATGCATACAAGAGCTGGGGTATAGGCCAGAGTTTTGGGGGTGAGAAGATCCACCAGACAGAGCGGGGCATAGAACAGGCAGATTGACTGAAATACACTGCTGAGGGGAGCAGCGGGCAAGTCAGGAGAGGTCTGCCTCGCCGTGTGGGTTTCTCCGTGGCCGGCCAGGGATCCAACTCGTGCTGCAGAGGTTGTGGATCGCTTCACAGTGCGGTGCTTAACCCCTTGTGCCACCAGGGAGGCCCTAAGTGAGTCTTAATTTGTTCTCTTTGGATACCCATGAAGTATCAGTGCCCATGTGTGCCCAAAACCACCCCCACCTTCCACCCCAGATGCCACCATGCTGCTCCCTCTGTGTTCTGCCCCTCACGCTCCTCCTCACTCCTGAGTGTCTGGTCTGTGTGTCCCGGCACCGGTCCAGGTCACTAGGACTCCCTGCCCGGGCACCTGCCCTCGAGACCCAAGAGCGCCCTCCCCGCACATGCTGTGCCCTCTCTGCCATTCGGCCTCCTGCCAATACTCTGCAACTCGCCCGCCCTCTTCCATCTGTGTCCCTGCATAGCCCACCGTCTGCCTCCTCCCCGACCTGGTCTCCCCTCAATTCAGCAGCTCCAAGGCCCCGGGCCGGGTCTTCCTGGTCCCACACGCTCTTTCTCAGCCCCTCTCCACCGTTAGCCGCTGCACCTCGGGCACCATCACTGCCCTGCCGCCCTGACTCCTGTGGGTGACGCTCGCAGTGAGCAGAGCCTCCCCAGGACACCCCTCTTCCTGCAGACTCCTTGCTGTCCTATTTACTCTGGGGCACCTCCTAGGAGCTCTGTCTGCCCCCAGCACCCAGGGAATCAAGGTCTCCCAACACCCCAATCTCTGAAAAGCTGCTGCAGACCCTGAAGTTGTTCTTGGCAATTAGCAACTGGAAAAGTTTTCACGACTCTTCTGAGCTCCCAGGCCTGTCGCTGCCTGGGTAGCTCCAGGGGACCGATAATTGCAGCTCTGAGGGAGGGTCACTGCGGCACACGCTACATCTCGGGGTGCACTGGGCCCGGCACAGGGACGCGGTTGAGCCCTTCCCTCAGCCCAGCGCCCGGGCGGCAGGAAGCCAGTGAGTCTGCTGTGTGCTCACTGGGGTGGGAGTGGTAGGGGCCAGGGGTGCAGGAGGGACACGGGCAGGAGGGGACCCGCTCCTAGAGCACAGCCGGGACCAATATCTCCCGGGCTATAAACACAGCAAGGTGTAGGCCCCAACCCTGAGAGTGCCTGGTGCCCAGCTCGGTCTCTTGAGGCCCAGGAGGCTGCGGGTCCCTGCAGCCCAGGAGCACCCTGACTCCCCTGACCTCAGCGTGGTGGATCTGGGGTTCCTGCTGCTCAGCCTCCTCAGGCGGGGCCCTGGTCTGATGCCCGGGGCCATGGGGCGTCTTGGGGCCTCCTTGTGAACATGAATACAGTAATCATCCTGTGTTTCCCGACTCTCTGTCCTTTTCTGCTCTTGAGCCAGGAATACAAGGTGTCCCTGCTGTGCTCTGCCCGGATGAGGAATAGTAAATGCCACAAACCCTTGAGAAACATGTAAACTGCGTATGAGTTCACGGTCATTTATTCAT